TTTTTTTGGTTTTTCGAAGACAGGGTTTCTCTGTGTAGCTTTGCGCCTTTCCTGGAGCTCACTTGGTAGCCCAGGCTGGCCTCGAACTCACAGCGATCCGCCTGGCTCTGCCTCCCGAGTGCTGGGATTAAAGGCGTGCGCCACCATCGCCCGGCCATAGATTCTTTTTTGCTATCGTTACATTTTATCTTCAGTCAACACTTGAATATTCTGTGCTCAGTTGCAACAGCAGATAAATGCACTAGCAGCCATCAGAGGAGGTAAGCATAGGGGAAGCTGGATTTCTTTACTTTGAACACTGGTCACCAAGTTTTTATACTGCTATGGCAAAATTCCCTGCACTGGCCTTCTTATCATTAATTACCTGCTTACCCCTCTAACTTTAACCCTATGTACAGTTTCCTGGGGAACCTCACAATGCCTACATTGATAAAGATGGTATATTTCAAATGAAATCATTTGTATTGGCTTTCTGAGTCAAAAAGATTTTGTGTAAGAAGTATAGGAAGATATTTGGGACTATCATGGAAATACCTAATCCTTCAACACAACTGAGCTGAAGGAAGTTTCCCAAACTCTCTTCTGGAGTCTTATTCCGTGAGTCCAGCCAGGCCTGTCTATTGCAGGGGTCATTTCAGGTCATGTTGAGAGCATGGTTAGAATAGAACATGGATAATGTGTTGCTGGCTTGGTTTCTTGGAAAACAATGATGCCTTCCACTACTAATAGAGTATTCCAGGAGAGATGGACTGAGAAATGAAAGCAAAGAGACCCAGAGAAAGACTACTGGTAAGCAACAGGAGAGAGGCTTGACATAGCCCAAACCCTGATAAAGAATGGTCCAAATGGGCATGGATAATCTTTTTTTTTAACATTTATTTATTTATTTATTTATTTATTTATTTATTTATTTATTTTGTATACAGCATGTATGACTGCAGGTCAGAAGAGGGCACCAGATCTCATTGCAGATGGTTGTAAGCCACCATGTGGTTGCTGGGAATTGAACTCAGAACCTCTAGAAGAGCAGTCAGTACTCTTAACCTTTGAGCTATCTCTCCAGCCCCGTGGATAATCTTCTGTGTGAAAATTATGAAAGAAATCTTGAGTGGAGGTAGGAGAGAGGAGAAGGGGGAAGGAAAAGAAAGCCAATGAATTAAAGGTATTTATATTGTGTGTCAGTCAATAGGGTTAAAAACATTTAACACAGGGAGCTACTAGAACAGCATGATACTAAACCAATACAGGAAGGGAGGCCAAAAGAAAATTTAATTTTCATTGTGATGCAGTGTTTAGTTTGACTTGTCTCTAAAATTACCAACATTTAAAAATTAATGTCAAAAACAGGTCATCAAAGGTAGACCCAGTCTGCCTGCAGTTGAAGCTCCATTACCATAAGAATCAATGACATATGATCTCTGAAAATACCAAACTATTTCTAAAATTATAGATAGCACCCAGTTAATTCACCTCCAGTTCAGCTGTCATTTTTAAAAGCAGGAGCACACGGGCCTGTAAATGCTACCTTCACTGTTCACATATGTATGAAAAATGGGCGTTTTCCCCAAGATTATATTTGATACTTGCAAACAAATGTTCTCTTCTAGAGATAGTCACCCAAGTTTAAAAACAACAAACACAGTGCTTTGGAACCACAAAAATGATGTCATGCAAATTGCTAGCTGAAAATGGCCCAGAAGTTCATATACACGAGAATAGCATGCTGTATGCAATTATGTGTTTCCTAGCTGAGTTCTGTTTCCTACGCTTTTAAACGAACATTAGAGACACCTTTGCCAAGTTAAGCTGTTATCTGTTTTATCCAAGCTGCTTCCTGCTCAGTCGTGGTAGCCCTGCAGATGACAGTTACTGCTGTTGCTGCCTAGCCTTCCTGCTCACGGTGCCCCTTTCTTATCATCCGACACCCTTCTCTCCATGTCTGGGGTTTTCTGAGCCCTCCAGAAGGACTTCTATATGACCTGGCTTGTTGAGGATGACTTTGGAGAGCTAATGAGGTCCTAGGTCTTTACTTCCAGGGTGACTCACATCCCTCTCTTGCCCTGCTCTTAATTCTGCATAAAAACCAATGATTCTTAGAAGTGGAACAAAAGGCCCTTCAGAAGCCACGAGAAGAGATGTTTACAATGACGTGAAATGTGGTCAAACTTTCTCAGGATTCTAGTGGTGAGACTAAGTTGCTCTTGAGCAGAATAAACACCAAGTGAGTGGGCATGTGGGGAGTGTGGGGGATAGGGTTAAGTACCACTAGACCGAGTCTTTCCCATGTGTTATTATGTGGTTCCAAACAACAGATACTTTCTAATTTATATATAAGGTCTCTGATTTATGGTAATTTAAAAATATATAATATATACACAGTAAAAATATATAATTTATCTACTCTATATAAAGGACTGTCAACCTTAGCAATCAAGGGCTCTTACTGACATAGGATATGATCACTGGGAAGAAATTACATTGATTCATTAACCAGTAGGAAGGAGGGCTTCCTTTTGACTGGAATTAGCTACATTTGTTTGCAGCTGCTGTGCTCTGCTTCAAAGGTTTAGCACTGACTTTACTCATCTAGGGTCAGGCTCAGATCTTATTGATCATCATCCCATCCCAACACAAAACCCAGAAAGAAGTGCTGAAAATGGAACGCTATAAATGGAAAGAGCAATCTTCTCTTTGTGTTGCATATCTTCAGTTCAAAATATGTGTCAAAAGTATGACTATAAAGCCATAAAGGAATGAAAACAATAAAACTGTCAGGAATTATTTTTATATGCATATGCTCATATACACACAGACATCTACACACACATACATGTTGTGATATTTCTTCTTTTCACTTCTTGACACTGCTTCCCAGACAGCTAACCCTCAACTTCAACCACAACACATAAGGACTTTCAGCACTGGTTATTAGAAAGAATCAGTTCCAGGAATAGTCTGTAAGTCACCATCCAGCTCTGAACTTCCTTGGTTTCTGGAACATTTTCCCCTTCGCTTTGGGGGTGCCAGAAAAATCCCAGCAGAATGGACAAGATCTCTTAAGCTTTTCTCAGACCTCTAAGACAGTAGTTCTTGTGACCCTTTGGGGGCCGAATGACCCTTTCACAGGGTTCACATATCAGATATCCTGCATATCAGATATTTTTACATTATGATTCATAACAGTAGCAAGGTTACAGTTATGAAGTAGCAATGAAATAATTTTATGGTTGGGGTCACCACATCATGGGAAACTGTATCCAAGGGTCACAGTTCCCTCAACCTCTATACTTTGTACATCTACCATTCTGTGTGAAGAAGTTAACAGAAATATCTGTCCTAGTAGGTTTCAGCTAGGTAGTGGAATAGACAGTTAAATACTAAATGTACTTTCTTTATGAAGAAATTTGGTATTCATTTGGACAGAGGTGATGTTTGTGAAGACTGTCGCAAAAAAGACAGTTTCATAACTGTCCCTGACAAGACCATAATCAAATCTATATTTTTCTTTACCCAGTGTCATGCTGCAATGATTTATAATCCAGTTTTCATGTCAACTTATACATTATTAAGCTAAACTTTTAGCAAACCAAATCAGTCCCATAACTGAGAAAGTACTTTACATGGTTGAATGTAATGGAAGTGAATGGAAATAAGCATGTGATCTTTTTCCACTCTTTTGCACTTAAAATGGCTAATTCTTAGCACAGTTGAATGCATTTCCCCAGTACAAATTAAGGGGGGGAAATCCATATTGAAGCCATCCCCCTTACTCTAAGAATTAAGCTTATTTTTTTTCAAATTGGGGAGGAAATACATTGTATAATACATCTTTCTCTTTTCCAGTAGATATATGCCTACTATGTTAGTTTTTAATTTCCAACTATTGATTTCTACCAATATATACAAACATATACATAAATGAAAATCAGTAATTTTAATGAGAAAAATAAGATTGTTAGTACAAAGTTAACTGGGTACTCTCTTTACTCCTCCTCCTTCCCCTCACTTTTATTTTGCTATTGACCTTCTTGGTGTTGCTATCAGCACTCAGAAAATAGAGCAGGGACAATGGAAGAGTAGAAATTTTATCTTCTATACTGCCTCAAGAAAGAGAGACTGGCTGTGTTTTGACAATAGTATTCTC